CCAGTCTGGCATCGGCGAGAAAGGCTCGCTCAAATTTGACAATGATTTTGTTTCCACGTTCCCACTCTCGAAATCCTCACTGTAAAATCAGGGATTGGAAGAAATAAACTGATTGTTAATATTGACAAAATCGTAGGGGGCAATATTGATTGTCAAGACCTATACAACATCCACTGGAATTGTTTAGCATTTTTCTAGAAGGAAGGTAGATTGCTCTCATCTGAACCGCCATAGACCTCGTCAGTAGGTTTTCAGTACAGTAATGGTCGTACCGTGTACAATACCCTGCGGACCAATGTAGCAGTAGCTGCCAGCAGTCATCTGACCGTACTGGGTGTTACCCATAGCGTAGGCCTTGTCGTACTGAGCGCGTGTGGAGTAGTTGGGGATCATTAGACCGTTGGTCACTACCATACGTGGAGCTGCAGGACGACTAGGGAACAAACCCATAGGGTGACCAGAGTACATGACGAGCGTCTGCTGTTCCGTGAGTTCGGACAGGTAGCGCATGGCCACCAAGTACTGTGCCCAGTTCTGGAAGACACTACCGTTGCCACCGTAAGTGACCAGGTGGTTGGGGAACTGTGCAACGCGACGGTCGAGGTTGTTCATGATCATAAGCATGATACTAGCTGCCTGTTTGCATTTGGCCGGGTATTGGTCAATGGGGTACGCCTTCATCTCGTACTGCACGGGACGGAAGCGGTGCATGTAGATGTGGCCCTCGTCCTTGAGTTCCTGCGCGAACTCGGGAGCCAGAGTGGCGTGGAACCTCTCGGGGAAGTACCGTAACGCGTTCTGCACGGCCAGCACGAGATCGTCCTTGGACAGACCGTCGATGTTGCGGTGCGGAGCCTTGGGCAGCGTCGGGTCGGGGTGGTTGCCCGGGTGCGCCGGCAGCTCGGCCGGGATGCCGTTGCGCAGGATACTCAAGTCTACGGATGACATGATGTAGTGCGAGGTGGTGTTGACGCTTGTGAGACGCAAGGTGGATTGAGGAATGAGCGAGAGACGTGTGGAGGTGCATCAGCGGCAATGCACGTCAAGAGGCGTAGCCGATCTCAGAGGAAGTTGACGTTTGACAACTCTATTTCTTGATTCCTGTTTATTGCTATATATCCGTTGTTTTGAGCCTTACAGTTTTGATAGAGGTTCTACTGATTAGCTCTCTCTAACATGATAGATGTTTATCTTTCATTTCCGAGTCCATATAAATTTAAACAATGTGCATAGACGTCTAATCAATTGCCTATTTCAGTGCCTCGCATCGTCTGAATAGTTTACCACAAGTATTTTGCCATGCAGTGCCGAATTGTACTTACATAACGATTTGATGTATCTAATTCTATTTGTTACACATCATACTAGACTGGATATGCAAAACGGAGCTGTAACGTAAAACAAATCTTGAGTTTTTGCGTGGTTAACAGCATTGCTACCAAGGTTGGATATTCAAACTCAGTTTGCTGTAAGAGCATCCCTGAGAGTATTAAATGGTTAGCCCTGTAGCTACCATTAGGTTTTACATTGCCGGTCAGATGTAAGGGGCAACGTTGTTGCTGGATGCTTGGCCAAAGACCTCCAACTTCAGCGAATAATAACTACATGTACATAAACTGGTGCTTCGAGCAATACCATTCGAGACCATAGTCATTTCTGTTTGGATGATTCATCGTCGCGACCCAAAAGTTTTTTTTGCACTGGAAATAAGCAGGTCAACAGTATGGAATGGTCTTTTATGAAAAAAGTTGGATTTCAAACCAATTTGTTGGTTATACTTAGATTCTGTGGTCTGATACAGCTTATTAATAGTTCTCAGAATGCGACTGTGAAGCATTTATAGTGAATTGTATGTTGGTTGGCTGGAGCGCGTATATCGAGAACAACAGTTTCAGAGCAGGAAGTACTTGCTGCTGCGTTGGCACTTACAAGCATCACGATGTCGGATGCCATTCTCTTCCCAAGGCTTAGATAAATTCTCTGCATACGAATTACGCAACGCAAACACTACAGCCGGATCGGTCGCTCTAAATTTTGCTTTGTGTCTGGCGGTCGGTGCTGTGCCCTTCTTCGCTTCGGTGATGATCTACCAGCGAATGTTTATATCCATCAGCTTATTATCCATATATGCCCTCGTATACTGTACAATGATATTTTGAAACGGTTTAAAATATCGCTAAAAAAAATTTATTCGGTATTAAATTTAGGTTTAAGAAACCGACCAATCTAAACAAACAATATAATTATCTTCAGTATCCATACTTGAGCCTAAGCAAAAGCTTAGGTGCTCGTTAGCTGTGCATAAGAGAAGAACTAATTACGCATCCGGCAATTGAATTGAACAGACTCCAAATATCAAGTTGAGCGTCGTCATTTACGTATTCCGAAAACTAAGTGAGTATTCGCTGCCCACGTTTACTACAGTCAAATTTGAATATTAACAATATACCAGTGCTTTCTACACTGATGTATTCGTATCAACCGCAGCAACTGAACTCCTGTAGTCGAGGTCAACTGCCTTGGCTTTCTAGTCGATGTAGCAGCAAGGGAGCCAATTTTAGCCACCTCGTCCTCAGGTCGCAAGTAAACTCCGTTGTTTGTTTTATGCAGCAACGAGCTCACCACTACAAAAGCTGACCAGTAGCTGAGCCATAGTAGTGAGCCAGCAATGATAAGTGAGCGATAAGAGAATGTGCAACTAAAGCTTGAAGCTGAAAGTGTCGGATGTAGCCATTTTGTCGCACCTTCACTCATGCTCATAATCCTGCGTGTCGCAGCCAACACTCGTTCAATAAATGTTCCTATTGGCTGATAAAACAAATTTCTTCACATTATGCCAACCTTGATTTTTGATCACTCCCCAAATCGACCCAACATTCTACTGTCTACCAGCATGACGGAGACCACTGACCTGCTTCCTTCTTCACCTACCGCGCGTGACGCCGTACCGGACCACGTTCCGGCGGTGACCGAGCCAGAAAAGCCTCAAACAGGGGATCAAAGTGCCAAAATTGTGATCCTCTCAGTCAACGACGTGTACGACATGGTCCCCAATGAGCACGGTCATGGCGGTATTGCAGAATTCGCAACACTTCTAGAACGACAGAAGGCTGCGCTACCAGACGACGTGACACTGCTGGTCACGCTTAACGGCGACTTTCTCTCCGGTTCGGAAATCGCCGAACGCTTCAAAGGGTACGTTGCATTAAGTCGAAAACAATTGCAAATGTTGCATCATCTAATTATGTTTTTGTGCAACATGTTGCAGTGCGCACATGATCGAATTAATGAATCACTTGGGTATCGAGTACGTCGTATTGGGCAACCACGAGTTCGACTTTGGGGCCGACGAACTCAAAGCTCGAATGCGCGAGTCGACAGCGAAATGGTTTGGATCCAACGTACGAAACGCAGCATCCGGGGCATTGTTCGACGATGTTGTGGATACGGAGATGATTACATTAAAAGATGGACTAAAGCTCGGCGTCTTTGGCGTCTGCACGGAGGAGACCCCGACGCTGTCGTTCCCCGGCTCCAGCGTCAAGTTCGAGGATGTATTTGCAACATCTCGACGCTGCGTTGAGCAACTCAATTCTCAAGGCGCAGATTTCATCCTGGCACTTACGCATCTGTCCATTTCGCAGGACAAGAAACTTGCGCGTCAAGTCCCTGGCATCGATTTGGTACTTGGCGGCCACGATCATGAGCCGTTCACAATGTATGAAGGCAAAACGTTTATCCACAAGTCCGGACAGAACGCGTTTTGGCTGGCTAAACTTGAGTTTGAGTTGAAACGCTCAGCTGATCACCCAGAGCGTGGATTGATTGTGTTGCCACAGTGGAGCATGATTGCCAATGCGTATTTGCCACCACAACGAGCATGCCAACAAATTCTCTACAAGTACATGCAACAAATGGCAAGTGAAGACGATCCGGAGAAGAATGAGCGAGTGTTGGCTACACTGGCGACCACGTTAACCACTCGGACTGCCATGTTGCGGGCAGGGGAAAGCAACGGAGGCAACTTAGTGGCAGATGCGCTGAGAAGTGAACTAGCAGCTGATGTGGGTTTTATCAATGGGGGTTTTATTCGAGGAGACAAGGAATATCCCGCAAAATCCAGTATCACTGTGGGTATTTTAAAACACGAGATGCCGTTCCCACGACCTGCAGTTCTAGTCCGAATCAACGCCAGCGACCTACGCGATGCATTCATCCAACATATGTACAAATATCCGCAACAGAGCGGCTCACATCCGCATGTGTCGGGGCTAAAGTTGACCATCGACATGAAGGCAACTCCGCCAGTCGTCACTAAGATGCTACACGAGAACGGCGAGCCTGTGGACTTGGACACGGAGGTCCTCGTAGCCACGTCCAAGTTTGTTGCTGGCGGTGGTGACGGCTGCTCGTCCTGGCTAAAGGGCGAGATTTTGAGGGAGGCATCAAAGATCCCAGAGGTTGTAGCCGACTTCATGATGAAGAAGCGGCTGCTAGCATACCCAGAGCATGAAGGACGAATCACGATCATCGAGTAAGTGAAGATCTCGATTCTCTAATAAGCTCACGGACCATCTTGTGAAATCGTTTGACAATTAAAGAAAAATACTACAGTAGTGGCTTGAATAAATCGAAGTTTATAGGCACTTACTGTAGTATGTATAAACAATGCAATAACGTTTTCTTTATGAAGCGGAGGCTTTGCTATCGGTGCTCATTGTGGACACGACGTCGTGTATCGTGCGCGACGCCGGCCAGGCCACCAGGAAAGGCGTTGCCAGGCGACTGTACTGTACATGTGGGCTGTCCCCTTGCAGCCAATATTCGCCGGAGGAGAAGTGCTCTGACTACATCATGCAGGAGATCACGTCCGCGCGGTTGCTGAGGACATTGCTCCTGAGGCAAAATGTTGTCGGCAACTTGCATGTAAATTTGGTAAGATAAATTGCGACTGACAGGTATCCACAATCGCGCGGAGAGATCCACTTCAACGTGCCTCCTCATCCTCCAAAGTTTTGAAATCCCAACTGTCTCAAGGGTAACAGCGAGGGATTTTGTGGCACAATACTTTACGTGTCGAGAGTGTCCGACACCAAAACTAGCGGTGCAAACGGCTACCTGCTGACAGTTATTAGATTTGCCACCGCTATGTTGGTGTTGCCTCCTGAAAAAATGCGGTTTACGGGGCATACGGTAAACAACTGAATATTCGAATGATCGTCTCGCAATCTGATTGGTTAATAACGGCAGAAAAGCTCCATCTGGTTCGGCTGTCTTCTGACTGACTTGCGCCGTTGCCATCGCAGCGCAGCGCAAGGCCATAACCATTCCCTCATCCTCTGATCGCGGCACCCACACACACAGGTTCCTTTTCTTCGAGCGCTTTCGAAGCGAGTGCTGGGCGATACCACCGCCGTCCAGGGCTAGTAACGTTAGCGATTGCTTGCCGGCTCGCCGTTTCCCGCTGTGAATCGTCCGCAACTCGCGTTGTCGCCTTGTGGCCAGTGCAGTCAACGAACGCATACATAGAAGGAGGTCACACGGCTCTCAAGCCACTCACACGCAGCTTTTCGTGTCCGCGTCTGCTCAAACTTTGCGGCTTTTATCCCAACAAGACAAGAGCTCCAGTTTCGCAACCTTCACCGACTAGCGTTATATAATCATCGGGGAGGAAACATGCGTTCATGGTTCTTCTTGACGGCGCTAGTGGCCGTGGCGTCCACGTCGTGGCTCTCACAAGGTAGACATGCAGTAATGTATTTTACACACTCTTCACAGTCGCGACTAACAATTTCGTTCGCGTCATTTCAGTGGAGGCAGCGGCGTGTGCCGAGATCTGCTACACAACGGAGCTCAAGGGCTTCGGACCCGGAGGCAGTGCCGGCTGTAGCTGTAGTGGCTTGCAACAAGGAGCACGTACAGGATCTGGAAGCTGCAGCTGTGGCCAGTGCTATACAGCGTCAGGCAGTGGCGTCATCGGCTACGCTGTCAACAGCGACGGCACGTGCACGTTTGGAACAAATTGTGGAGACTGCGACTACTCGTCGACTTCGTCTGGAAGCACGACGCCTACGATGTCATCAACTGCAAGCAGTGGCAGCTCCACGACGTCGACGACGCCCCCAAGCTCCACACCGACCGCTACGACAGGTAGACGCAGCTTTGGTTGATTGGTTTCTAGAGGTTTCTATCGTTCTGACCGGCTGCTCTGATGTATCTGATGAACTGGCGTCGCTTCCGTGTTTTTTTTTTTTATCTCATGGTAATGCGTTATTGTTGTCGTGGCTGTGTGTTGTGTGTTAACTTTCTCAGCTGCGCCTTCCACTGCGTCTCCTGCTGTAACTTCAGGTGCTTCGTCGAATTCGTCGTCTGGATCGTCGTCCTCGTCCTCGTCCACTTCAGATAACAGCGGTTCGTCGACTATCACGTCGGTATCCAGTAGCTCAGGCTCGACCAACAACAACGCAGGTGAAGCTGGCAGCTCAGCGGATACGTGTACGTGACTGTAGCCAGATTTGTGGTCTATCTGGCCGATTTCCTGACGTTTCTAATGATGTATTAAACAGCGAGCAATGGCCTCAAGACATGGCAGATCGCGCTGATTATTTGCTGCGGCGTCCTGGTCTTCACGGTGGCTGTCGTGTCGGTGCTGTCGTGCTACTGCAAGGCTCGCAATCGCTTGTATGAGAACGAGGACGACCAAGCTGATGCCAGTTACTATCAGCAGCAATACCCGCGTTTACGTGACGATGTGTTTGGCTCGAGCGCTGCAGCCACGCCTTCGTTATTCTCGCAGAACCCACAGACAAGTTCACGTCGCTCTGGCAGCTCGGGCAGCCTTTCGAGCGAACTGAAGGCCATGTATGCGAACTCGGCCAACAGCGGCAGCTCGGATAGATTAGGCGTGGGTCTTGCCCCCGTACACATGCGGAACAGCTCCGGCGACTTGGCAGGAATGGCCGGCAGCTATCCGAACGAGCGGATCCTGTCCGGCAGCTACTTGAACGAGCGTATTTTATCCGGCAGCTATCCCACAGATCGGCGACCAAGCGCAGGCAACAGGTCACAAGGACGGCGTCCCAGTGTGGAGCAGGGATACAGCACAGCACGCGATCGAGACTCGTTGGCGGTGGAGTTGTAGGCGTGTACCAACAGTGCTTGGAAGCTTATTCTGGTGTATACTGGATAAAGCAGGATAAGCGACAGGATAACGGCCAGAGACAGCTTAAGCAGCAGCGACTAAGACGTCGACGGTAGCGTCGAAGTAGTTCGTGTCTCTGGCGCTCCTTTTAGTAAAATTAGTCGCGCTCAAAAACTGGAAGTCGAGGTGAGTGCTTCCACTTGAGGCAAGCTCAGACCTAGATCTGTACCCCCATTTTGCTAGGCAGTAGAGCGACAGTAGTTGAATTATTACGTTAATGACGTTTAAATTGCATTTTTGTTTGGTCGTGGGGGATCATTCTAAAACTTAAGAGGAGTTCTTCTCAAGGGTGTGTCGCCGTGAATCGACCGCAGCGGTGACACGGCTGCGCACGTCTCTGCAGACGCACGGGGTCAACCACCGCGGGACTGCGAGCCAGCAGACTTCCCCGTTCAAAAGTATCTGAATCATCTTGCTCGAATCACTTCCTCCATTGACCGTTTAAAACCTAAAATGGCACAGGTATACATATAATCTAGAGTGCATGTATACTTCGAGACGTATAGTGAATAAAGTGCTACAGTGACGAATAGAGTTTTAAAACATGTAGACTGACATTGTTAAAGTTAAAAGTTTGGGATCGTCAATCAAAGAGTTCAAATTGTAAGTCTTAGAGCATCTCCACCGGTGGGGCTCTATATCTATATAGCGACTGAAGAGCTCAAATTGATAACTACTGGGGTTTCACCAGGCGTCTCTATCGCCAATTTTTTAGCTACCGGGGGGTTTCGGTCGCTATTTCGGACGCCATAGCGACTGAAATCTATAGGAGGTTGGATCACTTGCAAACGAACAATGCCTCGAGGAAAAGCTTGGTCGGACAAGGAAGACGCCGCCCTGTGCACGGCGTGGTGCGCTACCCAATCGCAGGGGCCGATCAGAGGGCGGACAACCTTTGGACGCTAATCTTGCAGTCATACTATACGATAGTACCAGGATGCTTGTGCGGCGATACTTCGCCGCACAAGCATCTCATTAGCCGCAGTGAAGTCTCTGTCGACATTTGCAGCCTTGCCGGGCTGTGAACCGCCGTGTTTTCTCTTTTTCGGTGCGCGAGGGGTCAAAAGTAGCGAGCAGACGTACGCCTCTTCCTCGTCGTCAAGAGCTTCTCGCAGAAGACGATTTCTCCACATAGCGACAGATTGGTGAGTGATGCCTCTCGGTGTCTATCGCTAAAAACATTCCGGCCAATCGGAAGGCAACGAGTCTATAGACACCGGTGGAGATGCTCTTATGAAGTTTTTGTATTTGCTCTTTTTTTTTGCTCAGAAACGATGTCGTTTGAACTGTCGGACGACCTTGGTGCAACGTCTCAATTTTGGCGGCAAAGCAGCCCAGAATTTCCCAATTATGGTCAGCAACGGCAAGCGACGTCGCGCGCCGAGCGATGATAGCGACGAGGAGCAGAAGACACAGCGCACAGACACTGTGGATGACGAAGAGGACGAGGAGGAGACGTCTCCACGCCGTCCAAAGGCTCGCGCAGCTCCTCCCGGACGCAATCGCAAGGGTTTCCTAGAGAACTCGCAACTAACCGAGAAGGACCGTCGCCACGTGCGTTACAAGGAGCGCGAGCTGTTGCAGAGCATCAAGGAGAACGCCAATGACCTAGCCAAGATCACGAGCGACACGTTCGACACGCACACGCAGGAGCTGGACCAGATGTACGACAGTGTGTGCTACCCTCGCGAGGCCAATCTGGACGCCAGTAACTTGGACGAACTCAATGTGGCGGTGGCTAAACAGTCACAAGCACTGGGTTCCAGCGACCTCACCAAGGTTCGAGACAAATTTATAATATTGCAGAGGGTATTGTGTCTAATTTTTAATATTTTTATAGTATGACACGACGGATTTGATCCGCGCGACGCAAAACGCGTGCACGATGGAGTCGCAGAACGGGGAATTCGACTGGAACACACTGGGAAATGCAGCTGGAGCCTGTTTCCGATCCGTCCCGGAGAGTAGTTTCCTGTATGTTGTGATGAAGAGATAATGTTTTTATTCTGCTAATATTTTTATTTTTAGGTTTGGGCTGATGGATACGGAGGTGGTTCGCAAGGAGAGAAAGAAAGCGAGACGAGCACAGGAAGATGTAAACGCACAAGAAGCGCAGCCTACGGAGTATACCAACAAGGTTCGTGGATAAAGTTCTCGAGCAGTTTTTTTAAAATATCTGACTAATTATTTTGTTACCCTGTAGAAAGACCGCAAGGACGCACAAGCGCGTCGATTGGAGATCTTGCAGAGCAAGTTGAGCGAAGGAGAGCGCGTCAAGCCGCTCTTTGACATGGTCATCAACCCCAAGAGTTTCACACAGGTGCGTCACTGTCAGAATTTATTTTTCAAACTGCGATTAGCTAATGGGAAATTACTTGATACGTGACGATTAGACAGTGGAGAACCTGTTTGATACGTCGTTCCTCGTGCGTAATAACTCGGCTGAAATTGGCATCGACGATGGATCTGGCCTGCCGTACTTAAGTAAGTACCCGCTGCTTGTAGTAGAAGACCTGTATGACTGAAAAATGGACTTTTACTATTTTTTATTGTGACAGAGAACCAGGAGGGACTGAACGAAGCCAATCTCCCGCCGTCGACGCAGAGTATTATCAGCATCACGCCGGCGCAATGGGAGCAGCTTGCGAGTGTGACCGGACGAGAGGAACCTCTTCTTGGTCATCGATCGTAGTCACTAAATATTTCTAAAACTGCGATATTTTTTCTCCATTTATTTAGTGTTGATGGAGAATATTACTTCGCTTTGGTCAAATTACTAGCTCGGACTACTAAAAATATCTAGGCGCGACTTGGATGAAATAACTCTGCTTAGTGACAGCTGTTGTGGACTGTGGTCGTGCCGGTTGACTCGGTGGTGATAAGTACGTCGGCTTGGTCGTGCCCTGATAGGATCGGGGGAGCAGTGTAGTAACCAGTGTCAATTGGGATATGCGGTGGGGTACGTGTAACAACCACAGATTCCGCATACATGGAGCTGGGTGGACTCGTCTCTGAAATGATCGGCAACGTCTCTAGACTCGGGAGACTCGTAGCCGTGGCTTCTATGGTTGAGCCTGACGAACTGCTAGTGCTGTGCATGTCCGTAGTATCGACTGTCGGTTCAGCGGAGCCTGAAGAAGACGACGGGTCGCTGTCAGTTGAATCCTCAACCGACGTGTCTTCGTTTCCAGTGTCGTCACCAGCGCTGTTCGACGCCCTGGAGCCATCAGTTGAGGCAGACTCTGAAGCTCGGATCGATGCAGTTTTAGAGGTGTTCTCGGCCCCACCACAAGCCACAGACGACTCCAACAGCTCCTTCACATTCGCGTAGCTTAGACCAGTTTTCGTGACTGTGGACTCGTCAGGTTTGGCCGTCGGGAACCACAGAAAAATCTGGGTGGTCTGTCTTCGAGCGTTCCACCCACTCACCGCCGATAACAGCGTAGTCGGCATCCAGTTCGAGCAAGTATTCATAGTAATCTGTGACTGTGTACGGCTCCACCCGGTCGGCTGTAGCAAGTGGACCGTCAGCGTACGCCTCGACGACCCAGGTCACGGTTGTATTTACGTACGCGAGATACACCATCTCGCTGTTGAACGGGTACACACTCGTGCCGAAATACTGCTGCGACGCTTGTGCATTGTCCACCAGCTCCATCTTCTGCACCTCGTACGACCGCACAGGCTGGTTCCAGACCTGAGCGCCTGCCGTGACGTCTATAATGAACGATTGCTCGTGTTTCCCCATGATGTTGGTGATGGCGAGATGGAAGAAACCGGCACCTAGATCACGACGCGCTGCGCTCGTGTAGCGTCCGTACTCGTCTATCATGACGGGAGTGTCTGGGCCATTAAAACGGGCACCGGTGAAGACGGTCGGGATAGCAGACCCGTCGTAGATATCCGATACCAAAGCTTTAATATCCATCACATGGAACGTTTGTCCATTCTTGACGACGTCACATTTTGGTTCGTCCTCGAGCATGGCAGCCGGCGCCCAGGCGTGGCAAATACCGTACCACGTCGGGATGCAGTAGCCACTCGGGGCGTCTTTGCGAATAGCGCACACGCTGCCATCTTTAAGTGACGCGCAGTCTGTATCAGCTGCGCACTTTGTGTTGTTGGAATGTGCGTCGACGCCATTTTGAGCCGAGATCTTGTTCATAAAGTCAATGGGATCAAGACCAAAAGCTTCGGCGTATTTAGCGCTAGCACTTTTCTCGCCGGTTCTCCAGATGACGTTGATGCTGTCCTGGTACGCGGGCCAGTAGCTACCTGGCCACGGGATTTTCGGCGCAGCAGCAGAAGAGTATTTCTCCTTTAGCGTCGTGAAGTCCACTTCGAGACTTTCATCGAAGTACGTCTCTAAATCCGAGATATCCGAGCCGGGTGCGTCCTCCATGCGGCGTAATTTACGCGTTGACTCGGCCGATCCGGCGGCGTTGCATTGGTCAACGGGATACTCGACAGGTACGGCGCCGTTGTAGTCCTTCATGACTGCTGGGTGGTCATCCGTTAAGAAAGCATCCGCTCCTGTTGGCATGTAAGCGTTGCATTGTAGAGGGGTAGCTTGAGCTAGCTCTAGTGTAGCGGCAGCGATCACGACACTCAGTGCGACGCAGGGTACGATTTTCACCATATTGATTGAGACTGTAATACACTGTTGGTAGTTGCGAGGTAACTTTCCAACGAGATGGAAAATTAAAGAATGGGTTCCAGCTACGAGAAGGCGGATTTGCGATGCAGTTGAAGCAATTTCAGTTATCCAGGGTCCACAACGACTGGTGTCTCCACAGGCACGTTCGCAACTGCATGATTCAACTTGAAACGGAGAAAGTTTGGCTCCTGGATACAATCGTCGACTGCAGTATCTCAGACCATTTTCAAGTGCACTAGAAGTTTTGTAAATGCCCAATCCATACTTTTTGTAGCTGGTATCCATCTCATATTCATGTAGACTACCTAATCCATACTTTTATAGCTGGCATACACGTGGGTCATCTCATTTTCATGTGGTGCTCTTACCCAGCTCCGTCTTGCATGTGCGTCGGTTGCTAGATTGCGAAGACACAGCTCTACCGCGTAAAAGATAACGACAGTGCCCTTGGAGACTCGTGGAAGAGCTACTGGATATTATTACATCCATTAAAGCCGAGTCGTTGTCAACGGCCACTGCAGGATACACAATGGTTGGGACGAGTGTATGTAGGGATATGTTCGTGTTGCCACTCTGCATACAGGTGACGAGAAGGACGTCTGAGCGTCAAAGGCATGCCCTCGGGTGCTGTCAACCTGTTGTGCAACTGTAGTTTTATTGTCGATAAAAATGATTGCTTGTGCTTTTGGTCACCAATCCCATGGGAAGGCAACTGCGATGCATCCGCTGCGCCGCCACCTTCCCAGGTTATAAAACCCAATATAACCCTTTCGTGCACTCCCACGGGTTAGGTGCGCTGTAACTTCTACATCTCTAAAATGGCTCCGGGCGACGGAGAGCCCAAGTTTTTAATTATATCTATCCTGTTTAATTTCAAACCGATAAATACTGTAATTGCAAAGGGCTATTATTAACTAATAATAATTTAACGCCGGCGTTGGTAGGAGAGGAAACCCCTCCGACTTTTCTCGTATGTTTCCTGTACGGGCGGTGTAGGGCTCTCCTTATCTCAGCCCCTCACAGAGTATATTACAGTAAAATAAACTGAAGCAACAGCACCAAGGTTGGCAAACATTTAAACATTACCTTGACATTATGCAAAACGCACAGCTATCATGATCGGTCTTCAAGGCTTCGATGATGCGATGGACTCCAACGCAATTACGCGCACATCTTGTGCTCTTGAAGTGTCGGAAAACGAGACTCCTCACCATTCACTTGGGTCTGACGGACGTCATCTATGCCTTCGTTGTACTGCACCTGTGTCGCATTCTCGCCTTCAGAGTGGTCAACATCCTCAGGCGCATCCTTCGGTGCTTCCGTGTTGTACGTCTCCTCAGTCGGGGTAGCGGTCGTAGAAACCGGGGCATCCGTAGATTGCTGCTGCTCGGGTGTAGTGGGCACCGGCGTCTCCTCGGACTCGCCCTCAGTTCCGGTCGGCGCAGGCGTCGGCGCATCCGTGCCGTACGTCTCCTCAGTCGGGGTAGCGGTCGTAGAAACCGGGGCATCCGTGAAGGGCTGCTGCTCGGGTGAAGTGGGCACCGGCGTCTCCTCGGACTCGCCCTCAGTTCCGGTCGGCGCAGGCGTCGGCGCATCCGTGCCGTACGTCTCCTCAGTCGGGGTAGCGGTCGTAGAAACCGGGGCATCCGTTGAGGGCTGCTGCTCGGGTGAAGTGGGCACCGGCGTCTCCTCGGACTCGCCCTCAGTTCCGGTCGGCGCAGGCGTCGGCGCATCCGTGCCGTACGTCTCCTCAGTCGGGGTAGCGGTCGTAGAAAACCGGGGGCATCCGTGGAGGGCTGCTGCTCGGGTGAAGTGGGCACCGGCGTCTCCTCGG